CATAGGAATTTAGCTGTTTATACGATGAAAGCATATGATATAGCATATTAAAGAAGAAAAAACAAAAAGTTTTTAGATTGCTCAATCACTTTTTGGGCTTCCTGCGTGATATTAGACAAGATGCCGCATCACCAAATGCAAAATAATAAGAGCGAATGTCAGCAAGCGTCAAGCAAATTCGAAAATTGGTGGCCACAGTTGAAAAATCGATTTCGCTCAAACTTTTATATGTGGTAGCCTCATGTATACCTATTACCACTATGTAGTTTATTAATGAAAATAACGTTTTGTTTTCGAGATATAAAGCCGAGAGTGGAGGTCGGTCAATATGCTAATTAGCACGTTTTCACAACACCATTCTTGGTCTTATTGCGTGACCTCGTGTGCAAAAAATACTTGATCTTTGGAGTTCAAATCTTTACAAGGCTTTTGTACATCATCTCATCTAATTGTGTCTTCCTACCATTGACCTTATGATCGTTCAGCACGTTCAGCAGCGAAATGCGCACGGAAATGCGCGCGGAAATTTCGTTGCTTAGCAACCTTCTGGACTGAAGTCCGCTGGACTAAAATATCGAGCAAACTAAATAACATGGCGGACAGGGTTGCAAATTTGCCAATAGTTGACAAATTCCGAGTAAWAGAATGTGTTTCTTAAAGTTTAAATGCTTATAAAAGGTAAGAAAAAAGAGTCTAGAAATGATCTAGACAAATAGAGATAAATTACAAAATGATAAAGTCATGAACTTTGTTTTATAGTCAAAAGTTCGACTAAGTTCTTGAGTGTCCCGGGTTGAGTGTTCGTGAAATCTATGAACAATAGAGGTGAACCATTTGCTAAAAATCATTTTTTATATTATAAAAAAAAAATCATATAGGGTTTGAACCACGTGACATTTGTTTTGTTATGTGTGTTACCTTTACCTGTGCTTTCCCAAACTTTACATCATGACAATAGATACATGGATTTTAAGTGATTTCCTTCCTGTGTAGAGAGTGCTCAAGTGAGCACACAATTTTTCACACCAGCGGTTTGCTCCTCTCATATATATATATGACATCACAATGTCTTGCTCGCCCTGCAATATTTTTGTTAAAATTGTATGAAAGGTTATTGCATCCTGTAAAAGTATATCCTCTTTTAAGACAAAACATAACTTTTTCTAATCCACACAAATAGCGTTTTGCTTTATATCAATATTTTTTTACTTAATTCCGATAGCATCATGGAATTTGTCAACACAGAAGACCCATTAAGGGTAGGTTTAGCAATCACATGATCAGGTTACAGTAAGATCATGTAATAGTCACGTGACTAAACCAATTTATCGTAATTATTATCATTTCAGATTATTTAACAAAAGCAGAAGCTGTCCAAAAATTAAAGGTAAAGTAGCCGGAGTTGTAATTTGTTAAAAATTGAATTTTTTTATCATTCTTTTACTCAGTATGTGTTTTGCATTTTCACCATAGGAAAGAGAAATACAACTATCTCAATACGAGTACCATTGCCAAGCAAGTTGTCCTTTTATGATTACGTATTTATTTTTGATACATATGCATTTTTCTTCCAAAGCAAACGGTGAGGGTAATAAAATCAGTCAATCCACTCTGATGTCAACCATTGCCCAAATGACTCTAATTTTCAAAATCTGAAAAAAGAATAATAATAAAACAATATAAGTAATACCATGATCACCTCGGTTTCTTTTATCTTCCAAGGGATGTTTACAAGAGAACATCCCTCCCTCATGCATAATAACATGAGAGATGATTAGACTAATCGTCCCTCATGTTATTCATGAGGAATGGAAGGAAAAGGAAACCTTGGGGATTAAATGTCCCTCAGCCTCGGGCGGCCGTCGGGACTTCAACTTATCAGCCCTCGGCTTCGTGGACATTTAATCCCTAATCTCCCTCAGAGCCATGCTATTACAGCTATTACTTATAAGTAAAATAAACAAAATGGTCACGAAAAATGTCAAGCTAAACTAGAAAATTGTTTTCAAAATGATAAAACAGAAAAATTTGTCTTTTTTCTATAGTAGACACATATATTCTATTTTATTTTTTTCATATTTTTTATTTAATCTTCCGACCGCCTGACCCACCAAAAATCAAAAATCAATGAAATATATAAATAACAAAATGCTGAAGTCGCGATTTTCACCGTAAAGAGGACATTGACAAGTGTTATTGATTTTAATATGCCTATCGAGGACTTTATTTGTCGTCATAGTCCATATCACAAACCACATTTTAAATTGGTTTGCAATGTATCATGGTATACCAGGAGCCCATTACTAGGAGCCTTCCTCTTCTTCATAAGCTCTTGGAACGGCATTTACCCCTCTTGGTGCTATTTTTAGAATTGCTCATTATAAATTCAGCGCAAAACAGCCAATCAGAAAGCGACTTGAACAATAGTACTAGACTATTTCAAAATTCATTTTCAGGATGTTTAAAGTTAACTTTTAGTATAAATATGTCCCAAAAAAGGAAAGCAGAATCACCTTTCGCTTCATATTTAGCCGATGAGGAAGCCAGTGATAGAAAACAGGTGTAATTACTCTTGGGAATACAGGGGAAAATCTGGAGAAAAAACAACAACCAACAATTATGAACTTTTCATTGAGCAGCCGAAGACCAACAAAATT